CGTTTTGTTCTATTGTCACGCGAATGATCTATGAATTGTACGGTACGTTCTTAACGTTGTAGACTTTTTTTCTTTTTAACCTATGTTTTTTTTCGATCACCACACATCCACAGACATGCTGTTGTCAATCCGTTTGGATAGTTTTGACCGACAGCAAAAGCCAGTAAAAACATTGGGCGTAGATACAAACAAAAACACCGAGACGCAGGTTTTTTGTGCTGGTCCACACTAAACAACTTACTAAAAACAACACTCCAGGAGCTGGGGGAATTGTAAGCGTAACACCACATTTAGGTTTCTTTAACACATAAAATTGGCTTACACAAACATTGATACGGTATTCACTATACTACTACGGTATTCGGTAGCTAGGCGATTAGGTGCCGTACGCGAGCGCCGGTTCTAGTCACGCACGCAGTACGTATTTACTATAATTAGACATAGTCTTTACCTTGCCGTTTATTCGGTGTTATTTGCTTACTTCACACTAAGTACTTGCCTATATCTAAGATTTCAGATGATGTATGGGTCGCTATATTTGCATTTTATGTACTTTCAGAGAAAGTCACAGATCAAGTTTAGAAGAATCAGCCATAAATAAGCACAAGATTAACCTAGCTGAAGCAATTCTTGACAAGATATTATCGCGAAATATGTACACATAGTATGAGGTATCACCTTCTATCGTTTATTTGTAAAGCTGAAAGATACAAGTGATATCATGAGCTAGTGATATATATCAATCAGCTCTAAAAACACGTAGTATCACGTGATTAGCTTTTATCACATATCCCAGCTTCCCGTGACAACAAGACAAAGGAAATATTGTCTGTCGTGAATAGTATACTGTGTTCTTAATGCTATGCATCTCCAAAACCAACTTCCAAATCCGAGCGCCACGAGGGCGTTCAGGTCTAATAGTTAATTACTACATAGAGTTCCGATTATTGAAATAGTTGTAGGTGACCAACTATCGCGTAGGTTAGCCGAATCGAGTTGGACTGCTCTTGCGAGATTTGGGATTGGTTTCGACGCATCGATACGTCTGTTAAGTTAAATAAAGTGAGGTAAAAACAATAAATTCTTCACTTTCAAGATGACTATGTCCCTTAAAACATGGTCGCTAAGATCAACGTCATTTCCACCGTTTTCTCTGACCATTGCGAGACTGTCATAAAGTTCTGTGCTATACAAGATAGTTACGAACTTTGTGGTATCGATCGTGGAGTCAGCAATAAGGGACTGCAAGAAATTTAGAAAGCAGACACTGGGTGTTATAGTCAAGAGCTTCTAAAAATGTTTTGACTGTCAGACGCAAGTCTGCTTTATAGTGACGTTTACGGCGCACGTCTTTAATCCTGATTGCCTTGCTATTTTACCAGAAGCCCATACCGGAACCCGTTCCTGTCTGGATTCCGTTATTATTGTGAGGCCAAGCGGTAGTCAGGGATGATTGATATCATATTACATATAGACGAATATTTGTCTTAGTTTTGCGCTCACGTTTGTACGGAGCACCACATTTGCCACGACTTCAGCCAGTTATATAGCCGGTAGCCATAAAGGCCCATATAGGATGTTGGACATCTTAACGTGTCATTTGCAGTGCTCCATGGAGACATTAATGGCGAGCTGCCAAACCCAAACGAGGCAATTGGAAGGTATATTTTAATGGGCGTCACAAAAAAGAATGACAACAGAAAGACAGCCAACGTTTGTGTATAAGCATGTGTGAGTAAAATTGATTACGGTAAATCTGCTCTCATTAGTTGCAATCCCGTCGGCCAACTAACTTGATTACTATTAGAGAATTACATGACGTGTGAATTTTCCATGCGCTTTTATTGTTTGCATTCAAGAATATATCAAACAAGATCAAAAGTGCTAACAGTATACAAATGTTCATCGCAAAAGTGGTGGACATACTGTTATAGTGATCCTAAGAGCGAAAGCGTTGTGTATTTAAGCGTATCAATATGTAGATAGTTTTTTTTAAGATGAGAGCGGCATAATTTAGGTGGTCAAATCTTGTCGAAGGTTTCAACTATAATAATTCCTAAAATCTGATTCCGAGTTTTTTATAGCAGATACATACTTAATACATACTTCAACGTCATTCACTTTCTATTCTATTTCCTATTTCCTATAAAAAATTCTATTCTATTTCCTTTTCCCATCGAGTTAAAAACTCCATTGATGTTAGAGTTAAAAAATCTAACTTATATTAAAATGTTATAGAATTATCAAGAAATATGTTAATAATATTATATAAGTTATTTCTATACTATGTCTTAGATCAAAATGAGATTTGGAGATATAATAGAAACCAATGTAAAGATATAAATTTCGACCATGGCAGTTTGATGAATTGTTTTGAGACCGCATTATTGTTTTTCATTTCAAAATCATGATTAAAACATAATGAAAGTAATAAAAACATATATGCAATTCTGCTGAAATTGGGGATGGGAATGATAATTGTACAATCTAATTATGGAACTGTAGACGTTATCCGACTCTGATGGTATTCATTTGTTTGCATGAATAACCATTTAACGAGTTTCTTCCATTGTATACACTCCTCTGAATATATGAAATGCATGTAACATGTTGCAAGAAATTACACTTTTCATCTTTCATCTCATGAATATACATGAAGAAATCTCGTGTGACTCATTCAATCTTATCTTATACATATTTTACAAATTCCAAATGGCCCTTCTAAAATTACATTGTAGGGCTATTTTTTTATCAATTATTCATTTATTCATTATTTGTTTCCTGCATAAATCATCCTACATACGTAACCAATGTGTCGCTATAGCGGTGAGCATATGTATTCTAACACGGTTTTTTCTGTTTTGTACATTTCAATAATAATACAAGATTTTCTTCTTACATTTTTTTTGGGATGTGGATAATTTTTTTTCAGTGGCTTGATCAGTGTTTTCAGATTTGAAAAAAAACATTATAGCTTATATATATATATATTAGCATGACATATCATATTCCAGAAAACAATACAGTAACTATGGTCTTGTGAACTTGCAACTGGGTTTGAATGCCGATCGAAACACGAACACTGAATTGATGTGGATATTGTTTACGCCCTCATAGAATGAATAAATAGTGGATTTTAACTATTGTTTTTATGACTAAAAATCTGAATTTACGGTCCATGTGAATCCAACGGTTCTCCGGAAGATGTTTAGAGACTGTGTGAGATATTGAGTTATATGCACACCCACGACAACACCCTATTTTACTGCATTTAGCGGTAGACCAAAAATGATAACTCAAAAATCATAAGAAAAACTCGAAGGCCGTTAACAGAGCTGTAACTTTGATTAAGTAAGTTGAAGTTCATGAAATCACCGTATAAGCTTAATATTTTTGGTGACACGGTCACGTGGTCGATTCCATTGACATTTTTTTTTAATCTAAATATACTCATCTATTTATATTTCATAGCTGTTTCACACAATTTACATTCAAACTGCAAATTGGTAGTTGTTTAGAAAAAAACTTAACTTGTCATAATAAACACAATTTCAGCTTTAATTTAACGATTGTGAAGATACATTGTGTGCATGTTTGTTTATTATTAGATATAATCACATTAATTCAGAGTGATCAAATTACCTATGTATAATGATGAGATAGTGGTTAATGAGTAATTAACGTTTCGCACGTAAAAAATGGTACATCCGTGGGGCATGAAATTTAATTTCACAAAAATATACTAAGACTAATGACAGATTACCTGAGTCGTGTATCTCCACCTTTTAAACGCTGTTTGGGCATTGCACTAGCTCTGTCATACTCATTTTAACCTTATCGCACTTACAGCATTTAGCTGACTGAAATTTATACTTATGTGCATTATGATTACCCATAACTATAACATGACTGTTTCTCATTGTTCATACTAGTGTGATCAATTGTTTTCCTCCTAACAGTTTTCAACACTTGCATTACTGTCACGACTCGGTGCTCGGAGCTGATTTACAGATTCAAAAATGGGGAACAGCACAACTCAAATATGCACATATATTTAGAGGAATACACCAGTAATGCCTTGGAAACCGCTACTTTTTGCGAGGAGTAGAATCCAATCTTTGATGTGCACTGAGAATAGGAACATTACACAGGACAGGTAGTTTCACGTCTTCATCTGAAAAGACTCCATTTTCCCAAATGAAAATAGCGCGAGTCCAGCACGTGAGCTTAATATACCATTTTTGACATTGATGACTGTGCAGCCGACCATGAGGAAAAATTGTACTCTTCACTTGGATCATAATGAGAGCAAGCTCTAGTTCTAAAAACTGTCGTTACAACACAGTACTTTGAAAAAGTTCCCTGTCTTTATTCCAAACAGTCTGCGTGAACTTGTTTTTTTTTATTTTGGCACTGTTCGTTTATTTAAGTCTCAACTAGATGACTTTGTAAAAAATAACAAGAGTTCTGTGAATGCTTGGTAACTATACTGAGTTCAACATGTAGTTTACTTTGATTTGTACATGAATCTGGTGCAATTTCTACAGGTCATTAGCCCATTGTTCTTCTATACACGTATGCTGTGATGACACACAACCCATAATTTAGCATTACTGCGTATTACGTAATATGCTCAAAATACACACAAGAAAAAACAGTACAGATAGAAAACTTATAAATCAAACTAATGAAATACTCAAATAAAAGAATGATACAATTTTTTCTGATATACATTAAAAGGGTTAAATGCATTGCCTCAAATTTGTACTCCCGCTCTAAAACAATTACTTGTTTTTCTACATTTATATAGACCACACTCTGATATGAAATTAGAAACGTAAGCAAACATTTATTTCAATTTATTTAATAATAGACCTAATGTATTACAGATATGTGGAAGAGCACTCTTGCAAATGATGATCCGAAATCAACCCGTTTAAGCAACAAACATACATAACTGGTCATTCGATTTGTCCTTTGTCTTCTGTGTAGTTATATACCTGTGTATACAATTCGATTGTAAGTTCCGTCAGGTACATTCTGAAGTCTGCCCTTGGTGCAGTTTTCAATTAACTCTGTGACAACCTGTTTCGGTGACCAAGTTGGGTTTTCTTCTAATATGATGGCGCATGCACCTGTAGATGAATGTCATAGTCAGGGATTTGCTTAGATCAAGGTCGTATTCAGGGATTTACTACATCAACTCAATGAAAGTATTATAACATGTAGTACGACCACCAAAAATGCGAACAAAGATCTGTAGTCAAGATACTGCCGCCTAGACTCGTTGATAAGCACTGCAGACATTTCCTCATATATAAATTAGTGAACTTTTTTAAAAGTTTTACAAGAGCATGGTCAAGTTCTACGTTTGGTAATCCTTGACGTCATTTCTTCGTACATTGAAACACAGCTCATGACTGCAGGCGGTTTGGGGCACGATGAAGTCAAAGCGGCGCTCGATGATATGCAGAATACTGTTTTCAGATACAACCCATCACTGTACAATAGCAACTTCAGACTACTCTGTTTCGTTTTAGTCCACATATGTGATAATAAGGTTATACACAAAATACCGGAATGCATATCCTCGTACGCTACGGTATTGTACGGTATTGTAAATTCCGATATTTTGTGTATACCCTCAAAATAATACATAGGTTAACAGTAATATACATACCCGCAACATGAGCCGTGGACGAGGATGTTCCACTTAACACAGCAGTAGCTGTGTCACTTGTATGCCATGCACTCTGTATATCGACGCCTGGAGCAAACATGTCGATGCATGGACCAGTGTTACTGGATGACGATATGTAATCATTGGAATCCATAGACCCAACTGTAATAGCCTATGAACAGAAAAATCGGTTCAATTGGAAAAAAACGTTCTTAGAATTGTTGTTGTGAAGGAAAATTGACACAAATGATACAAACGATACAAATAACAATAAAACAAACCTCTTCAACTCGGGCTGGGGAAAAGTTACAAGCGTTGGTAGCTGCTCCGCCCGCAGATACACATGCCGAGAAACCGGCAGCCACTAACCCTCGAACTGCATTGTCTAGGGATGTACTCGGCCCACCACCGATAGATATGCTAGCAACACCAGGTCTCACTCCCCATGCAGCAATATAGTCAATACCTGTAGACGACAACAATTTTCTAGATATTACTGCAGTCATAGTGTAAATGATTTTATAAATGCAATGTAAAATTTTAAAAAGTCACAAGTTTCAATGGTGGGCTATGTACAACCAGTCTAGTCAATATGAATTTAGACCTGCCACATATTGCAACAGAGAGTCTTTTCATTCACAAAATTCCTTTTAAACAGCATATCAAAAATCTACCAAAATTTCAGTCAGAACATTTGTTAAATATAACATATTATTCATTCTCTATTTGCTCCAAAGCCAGGCGTTCTTCTAGTTAGTGGTTATGCAACAGGCATAAATTCCCCAAGCCAATCAAATGTATAAATATGCGCGGACTTGTCTATTTAACCAATCATTGGAGAGAAATTACACCTATTACGTATGACTATACATGTACCAATATAGCAACTATGAAAAACAAATGTATCAACTTCCTATCTTTCTCAAGACATGTCGTGTCGAACTGATTTTCAAAATTTTGATTTTTACTGTATTTGGTAGCAAATTATACTCAATTTCATAATTTTTCTTATACAAGAATGTAGTATTTTAGATTAGTGTTATTTAAAAATTGCACTAAATTCCCAAATTCTAATTAGGCAGCCAGCCAATATAGTGTATTGTTTAGCCAGTCTCACTGTACATATATCACCTGGTATCACTAGTGTGGATGACAATTTTAATTTTGCCCTTAAATGGTACTATAACGTCATTCAAAATGGCCGCCATAACGATACAGAGACTAATTTCATGAACATGATCATATCTTTGAAAATATATGAGCAAAAGAGCTATAAATTGGCATGAATGATACTCAAACCACAGTTGCCAAGCTGTGTAAACATTATCGCAAAAGGTTCACAATTTGTGGTTTTAAATAAACAGTTTTTCAGCAACCTGATTAAAAAAATTAAAAAACATATCTTCCATATGTTTCTTTTAACTGTAAAATCTTATACTCTAAACTCAATATAACCTAATCAGCACTAATATTGAGCTCATAACACTTAGTGTACATTTGTAGATCTGCAGTCAAAATATTAATATAAACAGCTGTATATATTCAACTAAATAGTTTGTAGTATAGGTGGTTCACAGCATTGTACTAATATGAAGTATGGTTACTCAAGCCCACAGTTTGCAGCCGGGTTGCAACAGTTTTCGGCATTATAGGAACATGAAGGTGTGCACATTTGCCCTGCTTTGCTGCATTTGCATTTGGTTTGACAACCACATTCAATTAACTCCATACAAGATGTAGTTATGCGGGCAGAGTTTTCCACATTACTCCAAGCCTTTATTTACTAGATCTCCACCCTCCTGACATTTCAGGTGATCCAGCTGTGATGATATTTTGTTGGTTGTATTGAGCCAAACCTTAGTCCGGTAGTTTTCTCTTGCATAAAATAGTTGCAGGGCATCGTTTGTTTGTGGAAGTTGGGTCAGGATTACCAGTTCCGATCAGTTGATTTTCTATTCACAATCACGATGAACAGTTTATTCAGTTTTGGATGCAAACGCAGGCAGTTTAGTGTCACATATACAACTCTGTTCCAACCAGTAAGATAGCTAGATTTAGATCAAGCATGTTATAATACGTAATATAACGAATATTCATGTTTTCAATGCAGTATTATTTGACTCGAGTGTTTTTAGTCCCCGAAGCCCGAAAACGGTGACTATTAATTTTGGTTCCGTTCGTCCGTGTGTCCGTGCGTCCGTCCGTCCATGTGTCCGTCCAGAGCCATTTCTCGGACACCCTTTGACCGATTTCGTTCAAACTTAGCATGCAGACAATGTATATATGCACACCAATTGTCCTTATGATTCGATTAAATATGGCTAACTGGCAACCATTTTGTCCCTCAAATTTGCTAAATTCTGATATTTAAACGTGTCCGTTCCTGTTCTTGTTCCTGTTTCTCGGAGCTGAACAGGGCGATTTCAATCAAACTTTGTATGATGACCATGCATATTGGGTTATAGGTGCACGTCTTTTTTTTCGAAATTCGGTCAAAGATGGCCGACTGGTGGCAATTTTGTTTTATTTCCGTTTTCGTGCTGATTCATAAGATATGGCCTGATTCACTTGAAGGTTTATACATAGGTAGTATACTGCAGGGTAACACAACATGTTTTGTCTTGAGATTTGATCAAATTTGTCGAAATAGTGGCCATTTTGTCAAAAAACGTAAATTTTCATTCTGTAACATGAGAGAGAATGAGAAGAAGAATCTATGGAAATATCATAACTGAGGCGAAGTCGAATACATTATCGTGTCTGGGCATTATAACGTTGTGGGGATTCATTATGGATGTTATAAATCATTCTCATGATAATTAAACAAATTTATTTAAATTTTGAAAGATTTTGGTTAAAATGAATTCATCTGCGAATACCATTGTAGTAATAAAAAGCTATGGCACTATAAACATTGAATTCTAATAGTGATCATTTATAATGATTAATAGCGCATTGTGTCCCAGTATGGAAATATCAGTAAATAACGTATAAAAGCACACGCACGTCAGTGTATGGTAACAATGCTATCTCAATTATGTCCAGTGGAATTGTTTTATTTTTCTCCGATAACCAAATCAGTGTAGTTATGTGTGATATTGAAGGTGAAACACATAATTCCCTACTATAGCGTCAACTCACTAGAAACCAGAATATCACTCAATGTAAGGACTTCCACGAATATGCATGATATGCGATCATATAATCGGTTACTTTGACTCAAAGCACTGTGGGTATAGAAATCTGACGTGCACAATTGACGAATCGAAATTGTTTGGGTTAGAAATAAAATATCTATCATCACATAGGACTAAGTGAACATATATTTGTATTTTTATCATAATTTTAATATACCGCTATTGTTATGGTTACATATTTCATATCTCAATTATATATCGTATTTATGTACTTATGTATCATACCAGTGTCGGATTATAATCGTATGTTCAGAAAATTGAGTACAATTTCAGCTTCGTAATGTAAACATATTATAACAGTCATTGATTTTCTTGGCCTTGGTCGTGAATCATTGAACCGAACAAACAATGCACTATGCTAAATAGATACAGTAAACATTTATTATGATTGATTGATTGAACTATTCTTATTCAATCATTATGATACTATGCCATAGTAAATGGGACCAAGACAAATATACTGCTAGGCAATAGACAATGGCCACAGACATGTTGATAGGAGCGTCAGTCACGTTACTTGTTATTGTCCGTCAAATAGTGTTCCATTGCCTCCTGTCACTGTGTCACTGTATCTTGCTCGATAACCACGGTATTTGCGACAGTGAACGGAGTGACGGAGAAATTGAATACTATTTTTTGCTCATGACACTCATTTTCAACAGGATCCCGCCGGTCATCCATATCTAAGGTATAGCTACATGACATGTAAATTGAATTATAACTATATTTTGACATCAACATACTGATTAAATTCATAGAAAGCATTAATGTAGAAATACAAACAGAGATATTACTGGCTAATATCCAATAAGTTAACAATTATATTTCACCTTTAAACGATACTAAAACATGTGTGCTAATTTCTAATCCACATTAACGATACTAATATATTAACCTATTGTATAAAAAAAAAATTGAATGCACAAAAATGAAAATAGATGTTTTTTGTAATTTTTCCCTGAAATTATATTTTGTTCTTTCATTTTTCATAGATCATTGATCTAAAATAAATAAATATTTTTTATAGTTCTTATGAGAAGTTATAAAAGGGTCAGTATGGTAATGACATGCAGCAGGTTGTTGAAAAACTGTTTATACAGCGATAATGCTCATACAGCTTGGCAACTGTGGTTTGAGTATCATTCATGCTAATTTATAGCTCTTTTGCTCATATATTTTCAGAGATATGGCCATTATCTTGAAATGGGTCCGTATCGTTATGGTGGCCATTATGAATAACATCGTAATACAATTTAAGGGCAGGTGATATATGTAGAGTTTGCTTGTAACATGAAGATGTCATCTATCCTTTTTATCAGCATTATATACTATTATATACTGGCTGGCTGCCTAAATATCTTCTCAATAATTAGTGTTTCTGAACAATGAACATTCAAATGCTTGAAACTAACTCATTTTTCCAATATACTAAATTGTCATGCTATGCGTTACGTTACAGATGATAACTGTTTGATGTATGATCAATCGATTTTGTTTCCATAAATAAAGACGGACAACATATATACTGAAAGAAGTTGTATATTTAGCGAGCAAATCAAGTGCTCCTCCCAGGATATGTTGCTATCTTTACTTATCGGGCTAAACTATCACTGGCATACTAGTAAAGTCAATATACACTTCACTTGTGTTTTTATACCATAATCAATGTGCATTAATGTGATCCATTGTCAATGCGGGCTCAAAACGTTAACATAAATCGGCCGAAAAATAAATTAAAGGGTTAACCATACTTGGTTCACAAGCAAGAAGCAATTAGAGAATGGCGGGACCCAAGCTATTAACGCAGTAGGTGTGTATCAAAATGTTGGCGTTAGGAGAATATTGTAAACATTACACTGCCAACATATTCAAAATATTCGATGAAAATAATCACACATTATATATTTGCTTATAATATAAATTTGGACGGTGGTCGCTGCGCAGCGCGTGTTCGAATTTCATGTAAAATGAATTGCAAACAATGTATTTAACATTCGTTATGTGCGTCGCCATGAGTCCCATATATAACAGGACGCGACGATCACCGCGGAAAAGTACGCTCTACATTAATTTCATGGCTATTAGCAACAAATAAAATTTAGACAAATAAAGACGATTTCCCAAACAATTGCTGCTTTTATCCGGTCTGTCTCCATATCATAAAAATAAATGTTCCTGAGCTATCTGACTAGTAGTGTTGTCATAGTGTATGATTATAACTAGACGTTTATTTCCTTGGTAAACGTTGGTTTCCTGTGTTCATGTCTGATCAATGACATTTCTAATACTGGAAAAACATCATATTATATAAATATGCAAGGAAAACAGCCCTATATACAGGAGGATGGTGAATTAAACAAACTATATTTGGTAACATAACCTTAGACAGTAGAACAGTAGTTTTTAGATTCACTGGCGACTTGGCTGTCCTACCTCATCGACTGTCTTGTAGTACTCCGGTTTGTCAGTTTAGGATCATTCGCATATCGAATGAGTTATGTGTTAGAGAGGACAATGATACAAAATACCAACTGATGTGAGACTCCATTACCCGCTGTTGTAATTGCTGTCGTTATTGAGTCCAATGGAGATGTTAGTCCACACCATTTCCATAACATTACGCATCGCTTTGGATTGCACGTTGCCAGTGGCGGATCCAGCAAAATGTATGGGGGGGGGGGCAAGCTTCGCTTAACATTACGGAGCGCTAAATCGCAAAAAACTATGCCTAATCAAGGTGATATGAATCGACATACGTTTGGGGGGCCATGCACCCCCCCCCCTCGGATCCGCCACTGCACGTTGCATTGAAAACAAAAACTAAAGCACGCGCAAAACACCCACTATTTTAATGTAGTGCCTTTATCGATATATAATATATAGAATCTATTCCCTGGCTAAAAGTGGCAACCAGATGGCACATAAGACGAAACAATGAAACCACACAAACCTGCGATAATTTGACTAGTAGACCCAGCACCAAAACACGACAAAACACGTACGCTGTACAGTGACGTCATTATGGCCACACCAAAGTCAGTTCCACCTACTACACCAGCTCCATGTGTTCCATGTCCATTGCAGTCTGAGCCCTAAGTTATCAAAACATTTTATTTATAAGAAAACCAATCTTAATATTCTTCAATGTTCATATCAACACTTAGAGCTATTGTTTAAATGAGCCTGGGTATTCCTGCCATGTCTTAAAGCCCTGGCTATTTTGTCCTGTAATTATAAAACACAGTTGCAATTATTCTTTCGTCCTGAAATGTGACCTTTTACAAAAGGAACGTGTGTTCCTAGTTTGAAGATACTAGCTATTTCCCGTGCATAAAACAATAATGTGTCCTTGACATTTAAACTTTTGATCTGCAAAATGTGCCCAGGAGTTGTGAGTCGCTTGAAGAACACATTTATCAAGTCCAAGTCTATTTATCCTCTGTAAATACATACAAAACATACATAAACTCACACCTTTCATTCCAAAATGTGGCAAGGTCTTGTGAATTTCGAAAGGAACATATGTGTCTATTTTAATAGCACTGGCTATTTTATGTAGTTATATTATTTTGCATATAAATATATACCGTAACATTGACCTTTGACGTTTTGTCCCTATCGTGTGGGTGACATATGGAATATTTGTGCAATGTTTGTACCTATTTTCTAGTTATACAGACACGGACATATACACGTCATACCTGCGTACTGGTTCGCACTGGTGTAAGTAATATACCTGATAAACTATGCTTCAATACATATTGCATGCAAATGTCCTACATATTTACTGCAAGAAATACCTACTATGTTTGAACATAATTTATTCTAATTCTGGAACGTGCATATTTCATTATGTTATATTACTATGCGTGTGTGCGTGTAAAAACAACGGTAAACCATGGTCCTGTTTGTAAAGTACTATTTAAATAGAAAAGTTACACGTGTTGTAGCTATTCACATTGGCACACCGTTATTAAACCATCGAAAAACATACTTACGTCTCCGTCTGTTTCATAATCGTAAAAGAAGCTAGCACGTCCACTGTATTCTTCGTGGCTATACCTAATACCAGTATCGACAACGTAAACATTAACGCCCTCACCGTCACCTTCGTAAACATGAAAAACCGCACTGAGAGGTATTTGCTAAGTATTTGTTTGATGGCGTTTCTAGTCGCTAGTACTGCGCTAAAACAGCCAATCTTTACATCTTTAGGCATAACCGATAAAATATGCACACTACAAAAACGCGTCTGTGTTCGTTGTATGCCTGCCCTGGTACAGTGGGCAGTTTTGACTTTGCAAACACATGTGACGTAGCAGGTAAAATTCACTCTACTTACCAGCTGGCATATATACACTGTTGAGTGGAAGGTCACGTTGGTCGATGCGATCCAAATTCCATGGCACACGTTGCGCTGTGATAATACAATCTTCTTCTACGTAAGCAATTTGAGATAACTTCCGTATCTGCAATGGAATTGATAAGAGAACTGTATTATCACTGTACAACTAAGTGACGTAATTCTCTGATGCGAACATATTTCATACAAACCCACAAAAGTGCCGTCTCTGGTATGTGTAGCGAGAAGCCACGGTAAACATTACTGTAGACATGGGTTACTCTTGCATCCAGTTTTCGTAACTGATTTGAATTTTCAACTTCCTCTAGAACATGATCTAAATCTCCTCCGAATTCATCCTTGGGGAAAATAGAACAGATCACGAGGTCAAAGTTACAAATAGTCCCTTTGACTCTTCTCGAGGACATGCAATACGAATAATTGAGAAACAATGTGCAGTACGTGTAAATTGGCGCATATGTATTCTTAAAAGAGAAAATAAGAGGAAATGGTTTCTGTGCTGTTATTCTGAATTGTATGATTGTCAATTTACTCAATCATTTGACCTCCCTCTCCCCACAGCCTCGCTCTTTGGTATTATGATTAGGTCTATTTCCAACGTTTTCATCCTATGTATAGTATTGTACGCCTCAATCAGCATTTGGAAGCAGTACAATCGTATCCCTTACCTTCAGTACGACTATGTATTGATTTGGGATACTTGTACCTGGTCTAGCACGATACAAAGGTGCTATCTTTGATGTCGCTGCCGTTGAAAAGCACATCGTTATTACTGCGATGAAAGCAAGGTTCTTTTCCATCATGCTATACTAACAGTCCAACCGGAAACATGCAATAATTAGAAATAGTCTGTGTGTAATGCGTTAGTTTTGCACTACTGATGTATATGTAAAATATAATTTTATCATAAATCGGCAACATCTGTATAAATGAACTGTTTTCTCATGCTGGAACAGATAACATGTCCAGTTATCAGTCGACCGTTTCCTGTAAATAAAACCATCATGCATGATGCTAATTTCGATATATTCAAAGGTTGTATATTTCTAGAAATCTAAAAAAATATATATTTGCTAAAATGAATGCGTTGTTAAAACGTAGAACGAACATTAAATGTGTAAAAAAATTGATTAATAAAATGCTAATTTTTGCTATTTTACCACATAAAGAAGGTCGTCATACTAGTAGTTAAGATTACCATGGCGACGCATACGTATTAAGAGCCTTTCAAAACGCTGTTGAGTTCACCTGATTTTTTGTGGGAGAACCCAAATAGTTGCCAAAGAAAAGGGAAAATGTGTAAATAATATGTAAATATTCAATACTCATATGGTCTAGTAGACTTTGATTTTTCGTTTTTGTAATTCTGTTTTGGCTTACCTGCTGTTTGAAGTTTTGCGCATGTTAAATTGCACTACATAACATAAAAAATACACAGTACGCAACAAGAAGCACATTGCTCAATAATAAAATGTACAACAAAACACGAGAAATGCACTACACAGCATTATGAATACACTTGTTGTATCGTTGTCACATTGTTTGCTTACAGTTTGGTAGGCATTCCCATAGGACGATGTAATAGCATTAATAATTGATGCTAGGTTTAAATAGTGAGTGTTTATTGAGTAAGCTAGGGGTTCTTTGAGAAAGATTGGCGTATAAAATATATTTCTTTGTGGGCATTCAAAAGCAATTTCTTCAATCGTGAACTATTTAGTATGAGTACTCGTATTGATTAATTCTAGTAGGTTAAGGGTGTCATAAGTTAATCAGATTTTAAGCCTTTTTTCTTACCACGTTTCTTTGATATTATACTCAGCCCAGTCGAATACGTCCACGCCACTATGAATATAAATATTCTGTTAACTTTATAACATTTGAATATAAATGTATTACGAATTTTAAATGGGTTCAGTTATTGACCTGATTTCATGGAAACTGTACATACCATACAATGTCAACACAAATATATATCTGACCAATGTTTTGCGGAATTCAGTAATAAAAGTTCTATAAAATTACATTAACATTCAAATATTATTGTCTTGTCTTGTACAACAAAGAAAATAAAAGTTGTCTTCTCCTTTCACATCAGCAAATGACACTATTTTTGTTGATGAACAATTTTGGGTCACCCGATCTTACAGTAATTGATCTCGCTACGACCGGGGAAAATGTATCGCCAACAGGAGACTATAATTTATCTGGGTGTAGTGTATTACAGTCAGGCACAGTTTTGGCGATTTTCAGCAAATACACCGGGTCATTTCCAACTACGCTTATTAATCTACAAAACGAAGTATCGTGTTGATACCATGATTTAAAGACGAAGATGATTATGCATCGATACGACTGAGCGCAATCCTAGTTGAGATGATAGGGGTATACCGGGAATACCTGATTTTTGCCAAACAAAAGAACAACAGTGTCAGTACTGAGAGGGCGCATTATGCAACAGAAGATTTTGGAGCTGTCACGTTATCTGAAGATTATTCTCCGACAGAATGGAAAAGTACATGTATGAATAACTACGAATAATGTAAAGTAATTCCCCAGTTTTTCAGCAAAATCGACGGATCTTTGTGACTTCACTGCCAAACGCTGTACAAAGTAAATGTATTCAAGTCTTTTGTTCATATGACTAATAATTCATGCAAAACGTCTGTAATACACGGATGACACAATACCCAATCAAGGGTTGCTGAACTTATACAAGGTGGCGTATATTTCTGCAAAGAAATATTGAGAATTTGCATGTCATGATGAAAAAAATCCAATGAAGAACTAAGGGCTAGATTTGGTGGATTGGAACAGAAGTTAGTGTAATTTGAAAACAAAAAGGTGCATACACAATAATTGTTACTATGCTGCAGAGAATTGGGTGAGTTGGCAAATAAAACAGGGTGAGAAATATAATCTTTTATCACATCTCACTGCTGTTACGCATGCTGTGATTGGTTGAGACTCGGTCACATGACATGGAATAAAAATGGATATTACATGGTATATTGCCCGCCAAGTGGATATTACATGGGTATATCACATGGATGACGTCACTGAAACCACTGCGCAACGATACTGCGCATAACAAATTGTCGTTCGCTGCACTGGTGCTGTTCTGGCCGCTGTTTTTTTCGGGGTTGCTTTCAGGGTTTTGAAGGAACTTTAGCCATCCGAAATAGACAGTGAACGTGCCAGAATGGATATTAAGTAAGATACTCTGTTTTGATGTAAAGGGTATTTTTTATATGGAGCAAAAATGTACGGCAAAGCCGCCACTGAAACGTCGCAGCCGGGGTCGCTGCGGCGCGTTCTACGCTGTAAGCATTTCTACGCGTTCCACGCCGATGCTAACCGAAAACACACTAAACAAAGCTGTGTGGCTTGTGAATAGGTGTGGTATGTTCGTGAGAAGGTAATTTCAGTCATTTCCACGGCATTTTTATCTGTAGAGTGATCAAATAACTTGCGTTTGAGAATTTCTCAATTCATTTCAAAAATGTTATTCTCGATAATTTGAGTGATTCACACTGCTG